TAGACTGTGCCCTTACTACAAAATGGACAGGTTTCAGCCCAAGTTAAAGCAGATTCAAGGGATTCTAACGCAGACTCCCAGCCAAGCAAGCTTGTCCAGACCTAAAGTATTGTACCTTCAAACCCTGATCCCAGGTTTTTCTGGAGGAATGGTAGAAGGGGTTAAGGCTTAGGTCTGAGTAAGAGCCTGGGTTTGTTATGTAGCATACACATATCCTTAGAAACAAAGAAGTTAATGAAATATAGTCAGTTCCCCCTGCATGACACACAGAAACATAGATGATGCTTTGAAGTAATTTTAAAGTATTGATAAAAGAAATCTGCAGGAAAACCTCTAAATAAAGATTTAAGAAAAATCGTGAATTTGGAGAATAATGGGATGTGAGGAAACAAAAGCACCAGCATATATTCATGCTGTCTTTGTTCAGTATTGCATTGTTGTATAGTAAAATCAGGACTGTTGCTTTATTTCTAAGATAGTGTGCCGTAAGACAGAAAATACATATGCCCTCTTGGATAAAAAGGAGGTTGTTAGATCCAGCAGTGTTTATTAAGGATGGAAGGCAAGGCAATAGGAAGGCAAGTTCAATAGTCACTACCCCTTTATTTCACATCCGTGCTCAAATACTGGTATGAAATCTTCAAGCACTAAGCGCTGTGGCTTTGATAGCTGAAATTAATTTCCCAGCTTACAGAAAGGAGTCATTGGAGACAAAACCCTCCGTGACCTGTTATACCTTTGCAGCTGATGGCTGGTTGCCATTTTCCATCAGAGCAAAATGGTGTTGGCATGAGAAACTGCACAATTCAATCCCTTTTTATGGTGACCTCATACAAAGGAGTTAGATGTCTTTAAAGCAAGAGAAATTGCTTTAGAAGAATGAATCCTGTGTTTAATAGAAAGTGCTCTTTTTTTAAAAAAAAGTTCTCTGCTGACTACTTTAAAATGCTGCTCTCTTTCAACATCCCCTGCTTCTTCTCTCTGGTTGTCTAGGGCCAGCTCCTCTCTATCGCTACACACAAACGTACCATTGTTGGTGTGAGAGCCTTCTCCTCGGCAGCAACTGCCATCTGGAAGAGGCTTCCTGTGACTTTCCACCCCATCAACTCCCCATTCATTTTCAAAGCTGAACTGAAAACGTATCTTTTCTCCCTTGTCTTTGCCTCTTACTTGCTCTCTCCACCACCATTATTTATCCATGATCATCTATAATTGTCTCAGATCGTATAAGAGATGCAGATGTATTTTTTCTGTAGGTTCTGACCTCACTCATCCAGGTAAGACTTCACACTGGGGGTTTATCAGCACTCACATGGCAAGAAAATATGTCAGTCATGGTCACAATCTAGACCATTTCTTCTTTGCTGATACAGTACTGAGATAATATAAGGAGTTAGCTAAGAGGATAGGAGCAGAGGACTAGGAGAAGCACCACCTACCAAAATTAATGAACTCTTTCTATGGCTCATTGTCAGAAAAAGTTAAGGAGACTTAGCTGTTTGAAGAGAGAGGCATGTATGCAAAAGTGCAATTTGAGGGAATCTTTGGGTAAAACCTGCATACACAATTCTGCACAATGGAAACATTCAACTAATAGTTCATTACAAAAAAACACATGTTGATTTTACTTTTGTAAAGTATTGAAAAAGAAGAGACATTAAAACAGTAACACTGTTTTTTTCTATATAAAATTCAGAATTATTTATCTCAGATCAATATGTGTGTACCATTATGAAAGTTGGAAGAGAAAAACAATTAAAACTCTCCCCTAAAAATAAAAAAAGCAATAGGCATAAGGAGTGTTCTGTGAATGTGCAAATGGATTTTGACACCTATTCAACCCCCTGAGGTCTCTTCCCATGAAACAATAATCCTCTTTGCAGAATGTCCTTTTAGCAGACAGGAAAAGGGCATCTTCAGATCTCTCTGGATAGGAGAATAGTTACCAAGATAGAGAGGTAGATATTCAAAGCTTTAGCCTTTTGCTTGTTCTTGAAAAAATATGATAAGGGCTTATGGGTTTATTAAAAAATAGTTTTATTTAAAGGGACACTATAAAGTTAAAAATAAACTCCTATAGCTGTATTTATATAATATAGATACAAATAACACCCCAAGGTTACCACTTCTGGAATAGATTAGAGAAAAATATTTTATTTTTCCCAGTATTGTTTACTGTATTCTATTTAACGACATTTCTACTATAGTCAGTTCAAGGTTTTCCTCTGTACAGTTAATCCAATTCTCCTGTTTTTTTTGTGATCTTTCACACAGCAACTGAAAAGAGAAATTTGGTGTATAAACAAGGAGGGGAAAGCATAATTGTAAAATTGCAAACTTGGCAGAACTCTTAAGACCAAGTGCACTGCCTATAATTATTATTATTTTTAACTGACTAGATTTTCAGCAGATATTGTCTTTCTGCTGTAAAACACAATGGGCCCCAATCCTCTAACCCTCCAGGATTCATTTGATACACATGAGTAGTGTAATAGAGCTACACATGATGGCAGGAGGGGCAATGATCTTACAACTATCTAAAGAACAAAGCAGGCACTGTGAAGAGGTGGTGGGGTTAGGATAAATTATTTATTGATAAAACTGCACCTTTAAACGGAAAAACTGGTATAAATTATATGCCAATCCAGATCTTATCTAAATTCAAATAGTCATAACACATTTGTGAATGAATACCTCTAAAGCATCTGGACTGCATCTCTCTCGTAATTGCAATGTGACAGAATGCTTTGTAGCACTGTAGGTTTAACAAACTCTAAGACAGATGTTGAGTATTCTCAGTTTTGTTCCATTCTGGCTTTGAAGATGGCGCCAAGGGTTGAAACACTATTTCACAGATCGATTTTTAAGTCAAAGAGACCATTATGATGGCATTGGCGTGCAGACTCTCAAACTTAGGTATTCAGGTGGTCTTGGCAGCCTGAGCTGTAACCTAAGTATATGAGTCTGTGTGTCCACACTGCTATTTTTTGTGTCCTAGCTTGCATGATTCTGTCTAGCCAGGTTCTCTCCCTGCTGCACTGTAGACATGCCCATACAGATCCTTCCCTTCCAGGAACTAACTTAAAGTGCATAAGAGTTCTGCAGTGTTTTTATATGTAATCAACAATAAAGAGCTTGCTGACTTTGCATACTTTGGGTTAAAAACTCTTCATAAAGTAAAGGGAAAGGAGAGACTCCACTGTTAGCAAGATCTATAACCCTAGCAGCAGTTTGAAAACATATTCTCGTGAGCACTGTTATACAAAAATGATTTTGATTTGCCCTCAAATGCATCTTGCTCATTGCAGAGCTAGAAATCTATTGAAGGCCTAAAGAAAAACAAATAAAGTTGAAAAACCCACCACTACCAGAAAAATCTCTTAGTTTATTTATCTTTTTTTGCAGGAAAATTAAGAGTACTTTATACACTTCTCTCAGTAAACACACACATCTATATCAGTAAACACACACATCTATACAAAGAACAATCACCTCATTACTCTGATGGCTTGAACTAGAGTCAAAGTCTGAAGTCCTAATCAGACAGGTCAGACCTAAAACTGCCTATCTCTTATGGGATTTTCCATATACAGCTGGCAACGAAACAGACAACTTTCTTCCCTTCGGTTGGGCAGCTGCCCAAGGGCTCCCAATCTATGACTAACAGGAGGAAGCAGTGTTGTACAATGAATACATTGCCACAATCATTTAATTGTCTTTCGGACAAACATGAAGAGTTGAATCAATCCTTGTAATGAAAGACTGAGCAGCAAAGATGAAAGGAGAGAAAAGGTTAAGGAGGGTTTGAGAGGGGAAGAACATCTAGGCTTATAGCAGCTATGACCTCTTTGCAGACACAGAAAAATATTTTATTTTAACTCTCTTGATTTATTTTTGAATCTCAAAAAGTCCTCTCGAACCAATACAATTTTTTTGGGTTGCTCTTGCAAAAGCATTCTCACTTGAGAATTGCCCATGTACAGGGGGAATCCCAGAGTGCAGAAGAGCTGGCGTAGTGGTATGGGGAGCTCTTCTTGTGGGCATGGTGGAGAGAGCATTGTTTGGAGCAGTCATTCCCCTGGGATACTTTTAGAGCACTTCTGAGGCTATTGTAAACCTGTGGCAAGAGCTAAGCTGGCTACCAGCGGCCACAAAGCTCAAGGGAGCACAAAGGTCTCTCTCCCTAACCAATGACAAGTGGGGCCGGTGAGTCTAAGGATCTAGGCCCATGACTTTTTTGAGGCTTTAGATAGAATCTGAAGTGAACCGCTTGCTTTTCAGTCTTTATTTTTGTTAGCTTTATTTCCTAAAAATTGGGTGAAATAATGAAATGATAAGTTTGGCTTTGTTCTGGCTAAAAATCTCAGGCGAAATTTTATTGCTCTGTCTAGGGAAATCTCCTATTCAACTCAGTGAACTTTCTCCTGATTTATACGAGGAATGCCAATGAGTAGATGACTACACAATTAACCAATAAGCCTGAGTTTATCAGTTAACCCTGTCAATTACATGCTTCTCCCCCCCCTTCTGCCTCTGATACAAAGGCAGAAAGGGGAAGGGAAGGCGGGAGATGGTGCCTTGTTTCTAATCGGAATCTAACACGTTGTACACTTATTTATGTATTTCAATTTGTTCTTTTATTTAAGTCTCAATCCTGCTTCTATTTACATCAAAGGCAAAATTCCTATTGACTTCAGTGGGAACAAGTTCATGCCATTAATTGCTTATTGGACACCCAGGATGCCACAACATTTGAATGCCTCACATTCAATTTAAAATAATCAAATCCAAACAAATGAGTCTCCCAAGGGACTGATTCAATACAATTATACGTAACTCAGCTTCTGTGATGGTAATTATGACTTAAAAGCTTGAATAAACAGGTTATATGCCTATATACATGATTTCCCTTGAAGTTCTTTTGCAAATAATTAAATAACGTTCCTGGTGGTAATTAGCAGACAAAAACAGGTTAAAAGAAAATCTCAAAATTATCTTACCTCTGCTTTTATTTTATTGTCTCCAAAACAGAGATGCTGCAAGTAGGCGGCAGCATTGGACTGTACGGAAGGGAACTGGTGCTGTAACATCTGTATAACTTCAGGAAGTTCTGGATCTCTCCATCCAAACTCTCTGTACACAAAGAAACAAGAGTATCCTCAGCAAAGAACCTGGCAACAGTGAATAAATTTATTAAATGTGGCAATAATTTGTCCACCAACATAATTAGAAATGTAGAGATAAACTCCTTTTTTATTATTTTCAATACTAGAGAGAACATGAACATGGAATTGTTTTTCCTTTTCTACTTCCTCTTTCTAATGTAATGTTATAGTAAGATAGGTGTAATCTGAATGTCTTATTCTTTTATCATTGGCCCTTCTAAATTTTAAACTGAATCTAATCCAATGTGCTATAGGAAACTCTGATAAAGATGAAATGAACAAAGAAAAATAATTATGCACATGTGCACATATGCACAATTGATTAAAATGGAAATGTTAGGCTTAAATGTAACTGACTGTAGGAAAGGTTTGTTTAATTAATATAATCAATGTGTGACAAAATTGGTATCTAATACAAAAAACAATCAGGCAGTGTTTCTTTTGTTCACTGTATCCAGATACAATGAAAGCTAATGCTAAACTAATGCACCAAAATCACATTGCTATCCCTTTGCATCTTTGCATATACAGTACATATGTTTATTTGGAAGTCAGTTTGCAGTCTTCATCCTGTGAGGGATTGAGAATTCTAAGCACTAAATGGCGATGGGATTTGAGGATTTCAGCTCAAATTTCATGTTCAGTATCTTGCAGGACTGGGCTCTAAATGAATGTGTCAGATTAGGTACAACTTTGTCCCTGTTTTTAAGGGAATAGTACCCAGGAAAACTGCCCTAACTTTGTGTCTCAGAAGTCGGATGTATGTGCAGCTTCTCTGAATGACAGGAAGAAATCTCACATGCCTTTTCTTCTCAGGGCTGTATTTTGACCTGATATAAACATCCACATTTTCCACAGACTTGAACAGGATTTGTGCATGTGAAATCCTAACAGTAAGTAGTACATGACTGTCAAGCTGAAATTCACACCATGGTGGCACACAGCCTGAATAAAATGGGCTTAGTGTGAGGGAATGACACAGAGTTTGAAGAGAATCATATCTGCCCCCAGATCACCACACAGAATGTGGAGAAGTTGTACAGGCCCTTTGTTGTAGGGAGCCCAGCTCCTGAGGATTGGGGTTACTAGCCACATTGCCACGGAACCACTGTACCCACTTGCTGCCCAGATGTCTATTTGCTTTCACCCCATATACATCAATTCTGCACTAAAGTCTTTGATGCTTGTAGGAACTGATATGTTTTAGGTCTATGAGGAACTGGCACAGTGCCTGATTCCTTCTTCTATAAAGGATTCAGAGACCCGTATCATTCACTTCCTTCTTCCTAAACAATAGTGGCTCTGCTGAACTGAAACCTACCATACACTGTTGGGTAAATTTGCTGTTTGAGTAAAACTGTCAATATACCTACAGCCCATCTTTAGCAAAATCAGACAGCTCACACTTACAGTACAAATCCCCCAAAATGAACAGAAACAATAACAATGTACACTACGAAACAAGAGTGATCCTGCAAGAACAAGCAGTCATTGTTGAAATTCTGAGCATCACCTATCTGCCTTTTGTTTTCTCTCTCCACTATTCCATTTTACACAGCGTTTTCTGTCAGTCAGCCTGAGAAGTATCATTCTATGTCTCATCCTTACAAAGATCCAGGACATAAATATAAAAGACACAAAAGAAATACATTCAGAATTCTGTGCTTTATCAGTTCAGATAAAATAAGCTGTTTCTGACATGGTAAATATTAAATTTTACATGAGCTATTTTATTACAGGGAAAATGTAAGGACAGAATGACAAATCATACAGTGGGTGATCCAGTGTATGTATTTAGTCTGTGCAGAACTATCTTGAGATGGTGTGTGTTCCTGAAACACTGACAGGCCAAGTGTCAGAAAATGACAAAGTCTTAGGACAATTCACTTGTATGTGAATATTGAAGAAGTGTTAAGTGTGCTTTCAAGCTAATTAATTTATATGCTATTAAGGATCAAAGGAGATGTTGATTGTATTGTTTTTATCTGTCTATATCCTGTAGTTTGCTATAACATTACACATACCCTTTAATTAAATAACCTTATATCAAATGAATGTTAATGTAAGATTGTAGTCAAATATTAAAACTTCATGAAAACTAAAGGATTGTAAAAAATGAGTAGTCCTGTGGCATCTTGGAGATTAACAAAAAAATATATAGTGTTATTTGGTCTTATATTTCCCTTTACCTTGTGTTTCTTCTGCTGTTATATGTATCTCTTGTTTTCTGTTATTTCCACTCCAATTCATCTGATGAAGTGGGGTTTACTGATGAAAGTTCATGATTCTATATATTTTTGTTCAACTCCATGACGCCACAGAACTACTCACTTGTTAATGTATTTTACTTCCCTTGACCTCTCAATAAGGATCTCTCCTTTCCTTAGTTGGTTTTGGTGTTTTTGTTTTGATACTGAGTACTAACTGAATACTAATTGATTTGGGGTAAGATACTGATCCTTTGGGATTGTGAGTAACTTGATGTAGCCTGATGTAGTGTGATTTTTGGTTTATATTACCTTTTATCAGAAAAGTTCTATTTGTCTGGGTGGGAAGACAGGCTAGGTGAAATCCAATTATAGAATATAGCAGCAACGTGGGGTGTCTGCCCCATTTTCTGACAATCTGACTTGAGATTGGCACTCACAGTTGTGAGCAACACCAGATAGCATGACAATTCCATAGCAAGCTTGACTCAAATTCTGCAGTGCTTCAATACAGCAAAGTGGAGATTCTGTGGCAGCTTGTAAAAGTGTTCAAAACTGAAGTTTTTATTGAATTAAACATGAACATGAATAGCACAATCACTACAATACACTCTCTGATTTAATTTTTTATTAAATTCAATTTATTTTTTGCTGCCTCTAAATTTTTAATGACCTTTGTGCTGCAGTATTTGTACTAAAAATGCATAACTGTATTATAGAAGTACCAGAGGAAAGCTGAAAGGTTTGGCTGTTCTTCAAGGGAAAACTGGGATTTCAGGCACCTGAAAAGCTGATGGAAGCAGTCTGATTTTATGAGAAAGCACAGTCACTGGTCCTACCTACATGGTCAGGATCTATTGATCATCATATTGGGGGTGGGAAGGAATTTTTGCTCACATCAGATTGGCTGAGACCCTGAGGAGGTTTTTTCTTTCTCTGCACCATAGGACAGGTTTAAACAAGTGTAAATGGTTAATTTTCTGTAATTTGAAGTCTTTAACCCATAATTGAGAACTTCAATAACTCAACCAGAGGTTGGGGTCTTTTAGAGGAGTGGGTAGGTGAGGCTCTGTCGCCTGCAATGTGCAGGTCAGACTAGAAAATTATCTTTTCTGACTTTAAAGTCAGTAAGTCTAATGATCACCAAAGAAACTGATAACAATATTGACCTTCGATGTACAATGTAACTTTGCAAAGTTAACACTAGAGCATTTTCCTGATGTTAAAGGACTGATTTAAATTGACTTCATTTTTGGGAGATTTCCTTTGCAACCATGGTGTAAGTTGATGCACCTCTGTTGGTTTCAGTGGAGCTACCCCAATTTACACTGATCGAAGGTCTGCCCCCACATTGTCCTTTTTTTTTTAAGAGCTCCATTTCTGCCATGACAGATGGATGCTATAGCAAAAATTACACACACAGAATAATGCCTTGGCTGTAATAATGTACATGGGCACTGTATTATGGCACTGTCCACAAAAGGAGATGAAAAGCAATTTTGGTTAAGTATTGAAATTCTGTTTGGCAAGCAGGTAGCACAAATACGTGAACAAATCACAGCATGGATATGGATGTCATTATACACTAAAAGGTACTACAACTACATATTGGCCCAGATTCTGATATCTCTTACACAGAAGTAAATTAGGTATAGCTCCATTAATTTCAGCGAACCAAATACACCTTCCAGAATATTTTGTTGCCAGGGAGAAAAGTAAGTAAGTTAGAAGAACAAATAAGCTCATCTGAAGAAGTGGGTTGTGCCCATAAAATGGATTATTCATTGTATTTAAAGTTACAGACAAACACGGATATCCCTCTGGGTATGTCTACACTACCCTCCTAATTCGAAATAGGAGGGTAATGTAGGCATACCGCAATTGCAAATGAAGCCCGGGATTTGAATTTCCCGGGCTTCATTTGCATAAAGCCGGCCGGCGCGCTACACGGGGCACGAACTAGGTAGTTCAAACTAGGCTTCCTAGTTCGAACTACCATTACTCCTCATTCCACGAGGAGTAACGGTAGTTCGAACTAGGAAGCCTAGCTCGAACTACCTAGTTCGTGCCCCGTTTAGCCGCGCGGCACGGGGTTCGAACGAGCGGGGATTTAAAAATGGCGGCGCCCCGCTTATGCAAATGAAGCCCGGGAAATTCAAATCCCAGGCTTCATTTGTAATTGCGGTATGCCCACATTACCCTCCTATTTCGAATTAGGAGGGTAGTGTAGACATACCCTCTGAGACTAAGTTAAATAAGAATTATCATAAAGGTCCAAAGAATCAGTAGTTAGTCGCTTGATATCTTTGTACTTCTCTGGTTTAGCACAAAACTAACATGGGGGGGGGGGGGGATTCAAATCCCAGGCTTCATTTGTAATTGCGGTATGCCCACATTACCCTCCTATTTCGAATTAGGAGGGTAGTGTAGACATACCCTCTGAGACTAAGTTAAATAAGAATTATCATAAAGGTCCAAAGAATCAGTAGTTAGTCGCTTGATATCTTTGTACTTCTCTGGTTTAGCACAAAACTAACATGGGGGGGGGGGGGGG